TCAACTTTGTGACGTCGCTTGGCATGCCCACCTATTTGCCAACAGTCACGTGCAGACAGAGGTCGCAGATGTAGCGTTGCTTGTCGCTTTGCAGCTGCGAGTCGCTTGTAGTGTAAATGAGGTTTGAGACTGCGGGTCTCAGCTTGCATATGCAAGTCTGCAGTCAGATACTGTAGAGCTTGTCAGAGGTTTGTAAAAATATCAGCACAATCTAATAATCAGAATTCAGCTGGTTTGTTGATTGTTGTGATAAAAAGTTAATAATACAAAATAGCAGAGGAGCGGGTCTGTCAAGAACTAGAAGGACATTTTTTAAAGAAGAAGTTACAGTAGCAGAGACAGTGCAACTATAGCAATAATCCCATCCACTTTAAAGGGCCCCTATTAAGCATTTTTCAACACAGGCTCATTCTGAAAACGTGGTCCTATATACGTTTTTGGAGATTGCAAATTATGTAGCCAGAGCTATGGATGGCTGCATTTTGTCTTTAAAACGAACGCTATGGAGCTTTCTTTTTCACACTTACCACCAGCTGATCACTTACTTCCGTATGGACAGCTTTCCCGTTGTTACCAGTTTGTTCGGTAGCTCAACATGTACGTCGGCGGACTTGAGATGCAGAGCGGAGTTGACTGTGACAACAGGTTTTAAGTCCTGTAAAGAACAGTTCCAGAAAGCAGGTAAGAAAAAATAGCTAAATAGCTAGAATACCTAAAAATGATTAAAAAAATAAAATAAAACTACCAAGTAAATATCATGGTGAGAATGTGGTAAAATCTGAAAATGTGGTAAAATCAGGGGGATTTTCTTTTTCTTGATTGCTTTTTCATGCAAGCTATGGGGAGAAACTCACTCTAGGTTTTGACCAAGGATAGGCTGCTGTTTAAACTTTTTAGACATTACTCATACCTCATAACAAGGGCACTTTGAGTTCTACAATAACCATGCCCCGGTGTATCACAGAATGCAAATCCTTCCTGCGCTCTGCCATTAGTCTGTACAGTTTATCCCAGTACTAATAGGGCTGATATATTAGCATTACAACAACTTTGTCAAAATATTCCTTATTCTTTTGATGGTAAAACTTAATTTTCATCATTATCCAGGTTTCCAGTGTCAAATGAATCTATTTTTTTCATATATTCACATGTTGTTAAAGCCATATTAATGTTTATTCTGCATAATAGATGCAATCATTTGCAAAACCTACTTCCTCCCAGGTCTGTTTATATCTCGGTTGATATTTAGCCGCACTACGTTCGTGTTTTGTAACACCTAATTTTTACGAGGTGGGTTGTTAGCCCAATGCTCAACCCCCAACCTGGAGGACACACACACTACAGACAATTTAGCTTACCCAATTCACCTATAATGCATGTCTTTGGACTTGTGGGGGAAACTGGAGCACACAGAGGAAACCCACGTGTAAACATGCAAACTCTACACAGAAATGCCAACTGACCTAGCCTGGGCTCGAATCAGTGGCCTTCTTGCTGTGAGGTGATAGCGCTACCCACTGCACCACCAAGCTACCTGTTCGCAAAACATGCATTCATTTTTTTTTTTGGCTTAATCCCTTTATTAATCAGGGGTTGCCACAGTGGAATGAACTGCAACTTATCCAGCAAATGTTTTACGCAGTGGATGCCCTTCCAGCTGCAACCCTACACTGGGAAACACCCATACATTCTCATTCACACACATACACTATGGACAATTTAGCTTGCCCAATTTACCTGTACAGCATGTCTTTGGAATTGAAACTGGAGCACCCACAGGAAGCCCATGTAATATGGGCAGAACATGCAAATTCCACACAGAAATGCCAACAACCCAGCCAGGGCTCGAACCAGTGGCCTTCCAGCTGTCAGGCAAAAGCGGTACCCACTGTGCTGCCTGTTCACAAAACAGTTTAAATAATTTTTACTTGCTATTTTGAAATCAATTAAATACTTACTTGATAAACCAAGTAACTTACATAAAAAACTAAAATTCTCCAATCAACTAAAAACAACAACTGTGCGACTGTCACGTTCGTTCACTCTACAAAATTATGAAATTCAGGAATTATCAAAAGAACATGTATTTATTAACAAAACACTTACTACAGGCACTGGAACATCAACATGCAGGAATCAAGGGTTTTAGACAAATCATGACAATTCAGAAGTGTAGTCAAGTCACAGGCAAATGGTTGATACAGGCGGCAGGCAAGATAAACAATAAAAGAAGGTGAGGGTCAAAACACAAAGAGACTAAACACGGAAAATGCTTTGTAATGTTACTGGTTATATACCAACAAGACTCAACAATGTCTATGTGTGTGTGCCGTATAGTCCATGTAATCACTACTTAAGTAGCTCCCAGCTGTGTGTGAGTAATCAAAGGGGGTGATAGGTGTGTGTGTGGTGCCTGAAATGAGTTGTAGTCCATATAGAGATGGGATTGTAGTCCTTCTACAGTGATTGTGACAGTCATAGGCAGCTACATTTTGCAAAGAAAGTGCACATCATTTGAATTGAATTCAGTATAATAAAAAGTTTCATGTTAATTGCCAAACTTTGTTATTGGCTTAATTTATAAAGACTGGATGGACTAACATGAACCGCATAGACATAGCATAGACCAATATAAAAGCTGGGTGCATGATGGAGTTACTGAACTGCACCTTTTCTGAAGGTTGTTCAGGCACCAAATGTGAAAATTAGGCCAGCTCTTAGTGCCCCAGGGGTGCCACTTATACCCCACAGCCTGTTTAAATGTGAGAAACCACATGTTAACAAAAACTTCAGATTTAGCTGTGATGCATTAAACTTAACCCCTCCATGTTATGGCTGCAACAAAGTCTCATTCTGAAAATGTAGCTTTTTAAACATTTCTGGAGATCGCAAATTATGTGGCCAGAAGTACATGGGTGCAATTCCTTTTCAAAACTAATGCCACAGGGTGGTCGTTCCTTTTCACGCTTACCCGCTGACTGCTTACCTCTGTATGGACAGCTTTCCTGCTGTTACCAGTTTGTCCAGTTAGCTCGCCATGTACTACGGCAGACTTAAGACACAGAGAGAAGTTGACCAGAACGATTCCAGAAAGCAGGGGTCCCACTTTATATTAAGTGGCCTTAACTAATATGTACTTAAACAGGATTTAATAGTTTGTTACAATGTACTTATTGTGTAAATACATGTATTTACTTTGTATGTATGCTTGATTAAATACATGTATGTATTTACATCTGTAATTAACTTTTGTAACTACATTTGTAAATACACTGTTGACCATCCCTTACACCTTAACCCACCCTTAAACCTACCCATACCACCAAACCTGTCCATAACCCAACCTCTATCCCAACTCAAAAGCACCACAAGTGTTCTCAAATACGTTATAAACACAGTAAGTACATTGTATTTATTTTTTTTGAGGTAAGTACATAGTAGTTAAGGACACTTAATATAAATTGGAACCCAGAAAAACTGGTAAAAATCAGACAAGGGCTTTTCTTATTCTGGATTGCTTTTTAAAACTTTCGGCTGGGTTCAGAAAAGTCTCAGGCGTGAATGGCACTCACAAGAGAAATTTGAGATCTCAAAAAGCATACATAGCAGCCTCTGGTGGATCTGCAAAAACAAAAACTGCAAAAAGTGCAAAAAAAAAAAAGAAAAGTGCAATTTGCCACTCTCCAGAAATGTTTTCAGAATAAGCCTGGGTTGCATAATGCTATTTACCGCTGACCTCTTAGAAAATTCACATCACACCATTTCTCAATATCCTGCAGGATTTTGACCCTTCATTTAAGGGTCTATGAGAAACCGTGAATGAGCTGTGTGCCTGAAATTTAGCCTCTCAAGGACCACATAATAACAGTAATAAAAATAACAACAACAATAGGTAACGCTTTAGTTTAGGTCACAATCCATGCTATTAACTACTGGTTTGTTAACTACCTAATATTAAGATATGAACTGTTCATTGGTTGTTAAAAAGGATGATATTAATCTCTAATTCCACCCAAAATCTATACCCAACTTCTAGCTTACTAACTATTGATAAACAGCTAATTAGTAGTTTATTAAGCTAATGTTGTTAGTTAAAGGTTTGTTTATCATGAATTGTGACCTAAACTAAAGGTGAACAAGAACAACAACAACAACAACAATAATAATAATAATAATAATAATAATAATAATAATAATAATAATAATAATAATAATAATAATAATAACAACAATATTCCCCCATAGTCCAAAGACATGCTGTACAGGTGAATTGAATATGCTAAATTAGCCATAGTTTATGTGTGTGAATGCAAGAGTGTATAGATGTTTCCCAGTGTTAGGTTGCAGCTGGAAGGGCATCCACAGCATAAAACATATGTTGGATAATTTGCAGTTCATTCCACTGTGCCGACCCCTGATTAATAAAGGGATTAAGCCAAAAAGAAAATGAATTAATTATTGAATACTACTACTACTAATAATAATAATAACAATGTTAATAATAATTGGGTTTATGAGCATGCTGTAAAATAAGGAAACTACATATCTTTGTGCATGTTTGCATGTGTCTGCGCATGCATTTACCTCAACAACTACTTGACAACATTATGTAGCCTCTAATTTATTTATCTGCAACATAAACAAAGGCTCTGTTGGCACATAGAGAGAAGCGTTTCATTGCTTTCGCTAGTTCACGATCCACCTTTTTGAATCCTAATAAGAATAATTCATTCCATTTTCTCCAGACAATTTAAAATTTTAATTTCAAACAAAATGAAAAGCTTGTGTTTTCCAAACTTTGGGAAATTTGGCAAACATGTGACTGATGCCTGCTCTAAACAGAAGTTAAGAAAGAGGGGGATGAGCGGTTATTAAGTTTAAGATGTCCCCGGAGTGTTTATTTAAGAGCTTTCGCAGCAGGCCTGTCCCAGATATAGACGTGCGCTCAGACCTTATCACTTCTCGCTATGAGCATGTCTGACAAAAGGCAGATTAGGCAAGGGGTGCTTCAGGAATGTGGCTAAAACCAGACTGACTTTTCTTAGACTCATGTTATCAGTTACCTCGACATTTTTAATGTTGTCTAGTGAGTTTGAGCTTGGCCATCAACACAACATGACTGCTGCGAAAAGGTAAACCACAGTGCTTTCTTTATATTTAATTGTGAATGATGAAACATTGCAAAAATTAAAGGTCACCCATTAAATGATCATACTGATGTTCTGTGAACATGTCTGAGCAAACAAGAACAGTGTTGTTTTTAATGCTGCTTTCACCTTTGTAAAATGTTCTTTATTGCTTAACCTTTTGATCGTTTACTCAAAATATTAACAAATCTGCTCAAATTGAGAACAAACAATTGCAAACACAGCAGTTTTATATATTTAGGTGCACAGATACGGGCTTTACATAACATTTTGACCCTCGACCACAAAACTATAAGCCAGAAGTGTCAATTTTTTGGAAACTGAGATTTGTATGTCTCATGATAGATAAATAAATATGATTTCCATTGATGTGTGGTTTGCTAGGATAGAACAATATTTGAGAGATACTACTGCAGTATTTAATAAAAAATCAGAAATCAAGGGGTTAAAATAATCTAAATGGAGAGTTCAGATGCAAAAACCTCTAAGTTCCATCTGTAATTTTCTTCTTCAATTAGCATTTTTCTTAGCCTCTCATGTATACATTCAGTTTTTTCATGTTAAAAGCAATGTAAGTGATCTATTTTATGCCATAAAAGTGAAATTAATGAATCAAGACAGGAAGTTGTGAAAAAAAGCTAATATTACAAGACAATTTCAGATGGCACATAGAGGTTTTTGCATCTGATCTCTGCTCATTCTTAAAACGTAGCCCTATATACGTTTATAGAGATCGCAAATGCGGGATGGTATGACACAGTTTCTTTTTGTGGTTACCTCCATAAGGATGGCTTCCCCGTTGTTACCAGTTTGTCCAGTTAGCTCGCTATGTACACTCTCAGAAAGAGAGGTTCGGGAACTGTCACTGTGGTGGTACCTTTTCAAAAGGTACAAATTTGTACCTTAAAGATCCATATTAAAACCTGAAAGGTACATATTAGCACTCAAAAAGTAAAAAAGTGTTCCTCTTAAAATTTTTAGGTACTACTATATCGTCACCTTGGAATTATTAGGTTCTATCTGCGTTCTGAATGATTTTGAAATATTGAGCTTCAAAATTTTTACACTCCATGTAGCAAGCAGTATGTGTGTAACTTTTGTTTTTTAAATAAGAAGTTTTAAAAAGTAACCAACCTATAAAAAACATCCCATAATGTAAACAAGTTGTCATTTAATAAGAATATGTCAATAACTCAATTTTGACAGAAATGTCAGATAGAACTTTATGATTCTAAGGTGACGATATGTTTGTGAGGTATCAATATGAACCCTTTAAGTACAAATGTATACCTTTTAAAAAAGGTACCATCCCAGTGATTGCTCACATACCTTTATTTTTGAGAGTGTACATTGATGGAATTAAGACGCAGAAAGTTGACCACGACGACAGGGTTTGAGTCCGATGAGGAACCGTTCTAGAAAGCGGGTAAGACAAAAACAAAAGACAAAAAATAAAATAAATGTACTAATAATAAAAGCAAATGCATAATAATAAAAGTAAATAACAGCATGAGAATGTGGTAAAATCTAAAAACGTTGTTAAAAATCTAAATTTTTCTTTTTCTGGATTGCTTTTTAAGATTGTCTGTTGGGTTTTGGGAAGTGGGTGGGTGGGTCAACTGGTGTTTTTTAAAATACTAATGGTTGGGTTTAGGGAAGGAGGAGGGTGGGTCAGTCAATCGGCTCATGAGTCAGTCATTTAGTCAGTCAAACTGTCAGTCGAGAGTGCCTCTGGTGGACTTATGTGAGAACAGCAGGTGCAAATGATGTTCATGAGAGAAATTTGAGATCCTAAAAAGTGGCCCCTTGTGAATTCACGAAAATAAGAACTGCAAAAAAATAAACATATTTGATGGTCTCCAGAAATATATATAGGGGTACATTTTCAGAATGAGAACTCTTCAAATACTGACAAAAATACTTTTAAATCTATCTAAATATAATTCTTAGTAATGAACAATACTAAACAAAAACTTTTGATTTTGGATTTATTTACAGTGTGAAATGTTCAAACTATATTCATGGAACAGCATATTACTTAATATTTCCTTGATTTTTGGCATAAAAGAAAGTTGTCTCATCCCATAAAATGTATTTTAGTAAGGGCGACATGGTGGCCCAGTGGTTAGCACTGTCGCCTAAGATCTAGAAGGTCGCTGGTTCGAGTTCCAGCTCGGTCAGTTTACATTTCTTAGTAGATTTTGCATGTTCTTCCTGTGTTGGCGTTGGTTTCCTCCGGGTGCTCCATTTTCCCCCACAGTCCAAAGACATGTGATTTGGCGAATTGAATGAACTAAATTGGCCGTAGTGTTTGTGTGTGAATGAGGGTGTGTGGGTGTTTCCCAGTACTGGGTTGCAGCTAGAAGGGTATCCACTATGTAATACATACGCTGGATAAGTTGGAAGTTCATTCCACTGTGGTGACCCCAGATGAATAAAGGGACTAAGCCGAAGGAAAATGAATGATGAAAATGTACTTTGATCTATTGCCAAAAATATACTTGTACAACATAAGACTGATTTTGATGTCCAGGGTCACAGTTATGTATATTACAATAGTATATTTTTCTTCTCACACCTGAGTGGCTGCGAGGAGGGTATTGTGCAACCATGACCTCCTATTAAATATTAGGTAAGAAATAATGTAAGGTATAAAAGTGAGGTAATAAATAATCCAACTTCACTCAATCATTCATCACAATGGTTAAAGACCAAAGAGCTGTTATTTGCAGTATAGCGGCTATAAATTGCTATCAGAAGCAGCTTTTGATCGTAAAAACAATTCCAGTCAACTGTAAGTCTTATGAATCAGTTTGAAAGACGACATGTGTATCTTGTCTAAATAATCTTTCCCAAGTTAGGATGATGATTCAAGAGGCCCACAAAATTCCCATCTGATGAATTGCAGAAGTTCTAACATCACCTACATCATCATAACAATCCTCTACTTTTATCCAAAAAAGCAAACTTTTGTGTGTTTTCTTTCTTATATATCAAAAACTACACTCAAAAGATTTATTTTAGCTGCTTGTTTAAACTATATATTTTAAATTAACTGAAACAACACAATTCTTGTTTGGGCTACTAAATTCTATTGCATTCATTTCATTTGTTGAAACAATTAAGTTTTAATGTATTGGAACAACATGAAGAAATTTTGTGGAACCCAGCAATTTTTTACAGTGTAGTAGTTGAACAAAAAATGCATTGTTCCTTCTTTGTTCATATATATCATGTACAACTATTTATCATGTAAAACCATCATCAGTTTCACAGATTGAAATGGCTAAATACTAAAGAACAATCTAAAATTAATTTCTATGTGTTATTTGACTTCAGTCATATCTTTTGCTGTTTAAAAGTGCTTTTTAAATGGTGTCGGCTTTAGAGCTTAACTGTCTGTCTGCACAACAGATAATCAGGCCACTTCTCATGACCTTAGACCTTCTTCTGTCATAGTCAGATGACTAATGGAAACACTTTTCCAGATCCTTCATAAATCCTGGCTTTTTTTTTTTTTTTTTTTACAAAAAAAGGAAGTCGAGTACGCAAAGTGATGATGGTGGAGAGTGTAAATTTAACTAATACCTTTTATAACTCATTATCACAATTTGCATATTTTTCTTTTCTTTTCAAATTTTTGCTGTGAAACAGAAGAGAAAAGTAGAAAGTGTACATTTTTATTCCTTTTATTCTAAATGGGACATCTTGAAGCATATTAAGGATAATATCACCGTTCAGTGTAATAATAGGTATATTTAAGTAAATGATAAAGAGCATACTCATTCTGACCTATACTTATTGTTAAATTATATAAAAGAAAATATAAAAGAAGAGGGAAAGAAAATATGAAGAACTAGAAGGTTTTAATAATTAATTAGTGTAACACATTGCATGCATTAAAGGATCCCTTTAATGCCTATAAAAAAGAATAATTGGTCATACTGAATTTTGTTATATTCTAAATAATTAAAAACTTAGAAAGCAAAGAAAGAAAGTATAAAAAAGAAAACTAAAATACACTTTATTCCAATTAAAATATTGTGATTTTTCAGTTCAAATGTGCTTGATATATTTAGAAATTTTGCTTTGGGGAAAATACCTTGCATTTATTTGAGAAGATTAGTTAGTTACTTTGTTTGTATCCACTGCTGATATGACTGCCGTTACACTGAATGAAAGTGGGTGCAATCTGTAGATCATCATAAAAATGTTCATGTGTCATTTTATTTAATTTTATTGTTATCTGTTTGTGTCATTATCATTTATTAGAAATTAATAAATAATTATTGTTATAATGGTAATGAAAAAAACAATAACTTCAAAGTGTGCTATATCACAAAACTTACTTCATTTATTCTTTTATTTACATACATTACATTTATTTATGTTCATAATTGTTCAATCAAAGTGATTTACAAACACAAGGATTGCAAGTGATTTTTTATTGAGAAATTTCAGGCTGTTTTAAAAAACATGAGCTAGAGTAAGAAATACAAGGAAAGCATGCGCAGAGATGTTTTATGAAAAAAATGGCCTAAAATCTGCATTGTTTCTCTCCCAAAGCAAAAACTTAAAATTCACAGTAAAAAAAAAAAAAAAAAAAAAAAAAGAAATATATATATATATATATATATATATATATATATATATATATATGTGTAAATTTGCTGTTTTCTGTATTTTGTGAATCATGTTTTTATTTATTTTATATTGCCTCATTTATTTATCCCTACATGCTTTTGAATTGTATTACGGGACCTTGGTCCTTCTTCCAACAACTTTTAACCTCTAAAAGTTGGAAAAGGTTATTTTTATTAACATTTTATAGTTTAAAATGGTATATTTACTGGGTAGGCGTTGTATTTTACAGTACAAAAACCTTGTAATAAATTGGCAGTACATTTCCTGTTATTTTACAGACTTAAATTGCACCTATTTTACCCTTTTTTCAAGATTTAAGATAAGTCTTTTGTGTCTCCAGAATGTGTGTAGTTTCAGCTCAAGAATATTTCAGAATATTGGAATTTTCTGCTTTGAACACAATGTAGCTGTTTTTGTTGCCTGTGTCTGTGCCTCAATCTCCGCCTTGGCAGTGTCAGGTAAACAGCACAGTGATAGACGAGAAGGCAGCAGATCTCACATAACGTTTCTAAGAAATACTACTGTAAAAGCTTTCCTAATGATTATTTGATGTATTTGTTGTGGAGTTAATTCAAGCATTTTGATGAGCCACATACAATGTCATTACAAAGTACACACACAGATACACACACACACACACACACACACACACACACACACACACACACACACACACACACACACACACACACACACAGTGTGCTTGTTTAACTTCGCACTGTTTTTGCATAACAAATGTGACAGGATACACATTTAATATCCACTGCTGTATGGTTATTCGTTATGTTTATGTACAACATAAACCTTATTTAACGTCCACAAACCAAAGCATCTTCTTTTATAATTGTACTGACTTAAAGATGGTAAAGATGGATAAAGATGGTTAAACTGCTGTAATTCATTATGTTTTAAAAATGTTTTAAACTTGTAAAACTTTCTACATCATATTTGAATGATGATTGATGATCACAATGAGCTGAACAGATCTTTTAATAGCAGTTACTTTGCGCTCGTCCTGTCTTGTTGATATTGATATAATGACTGTCAATTAATTCGGTGGGCAGAGAAACCGCACTCCTACGTCACGTTACAGTGGGCCTTAAAATGGGAGGGATTTGGATCCTTTTAACATCAGGAAATGTTTAAAACAAAAAGAAGAGATTTATTGTGTTTCAGTATGGCTGTGGACACATTATACCTACACACAGTTCTGTCCAAACAGTTTACAAAGGATAATTTTCATCATAGGTGCCCTTTAATTGTCTAGATGTTATTTCTTATACATGAACACTAAAATGAAAAAATAAAAAAATCTAGAAAAATAATAAATAAAAGTCACTTTATTAAACTGTAGAGTTGAATTTTAAAACATCAAAAGTGGACAGAGCAGAGATTAACATCCCAAAATGCAATTCACAACCATAAATAAATGAAAAATACAGTGAATCACAAAATATGGAAACTGTTAATTAACAGATTTTTTTTTCTTTACAATGTACAACAGAACATCATACGGAAGACTTTAGTGAACATTTTCCATGGTTTTTAGAAGCATAGACTTGCTCTAGGATTTTATTTATACTGCTTTATATTCTTTAGGAGTACTTCTGATTACAATACTCAAATTTTCTAGAGTACAACACAAACTACTTCAGCCCAGTACAATCCTAATATCATCCTGTGTCAGCATGTCAATCACAGTCACCACATAGACAGTCAACTTGGCCTTCTTTCTCCCCATCCTTCTTCCCTTTTCTTTCCATCTCTCTCTCTCTTTTGTTTTTTGGTGCGAGTGCCCCAGTTCTGAAACCGCGTTCATCCCACTCAGTCAGAGGTTTGCGCTCTGCTCTCTCCCACAGGGTATGTACCAATATGCACAGAGCACATTTTCACAGATGCCATCAGAGAACAAGCATATGAATTACCAGGCAGCCTGCCATCTTTGAGTTCAGACAGAATGGCATTAATACCAGATGAAGAGCCCAAACAACAACAGCACAACAACATGAAAGCCCAAAACAACTGGGACCAGGTAAAGGTTTCATCATTTTATATATTAATGTCTTGATTAACAAAGACTCCAAACTCAACTCCCGCTTTCAGCCTCTCTCTCTCTCCCTCTCTATCTCTCTTTCCCCCAAAAGTTGTGACACCATTGAAACTACCGGCAGACTTGGGGGACTCTGCGGAAAAAGAATCCTGTCAGCAAATCACGTTACGATAAATAAAAGATACGCCACTGTTGACCATGACTTATTCAGGAGCCATTATGAATTCATGCCTACAATTAAAGAAAACACAATCGTTTTAAAATTGAATGGCAATAAATATTAGTATTACCCAATTATGTCACAATTAATACTAAGCAGGCTGATTAGCGGCGAACGAACAGGCCAATTAAAAGATGCACGTACAAGTGGAACGAAAGAGGGAGTTAGGGTGCCTGTAGCATCTGGACATGGAACGTGATGAGAATAGACAATAGATGGACAAAGGGAAAGGGATAATAAGAGACAATGTTTAACAAGATAATGTTTTAATGTTTAAAAGAAGCTGTTTTAAAATCTTTGTACATTCGTTGATTAGAACAGACTGCTGCTGCTGCTGCTGCTGTTTTTACAGAGAGACTGAAGCTTGGTGTTATAAAGGTGTAAAAAGGTGTGACAAGCATAATTCCTAACTCAGGAATATCCTTTGGGCCATAAAATAAAATATGAAACTTTCCATTAATATAATATAATATAATATAATATAATATAATATAATATAATATAATATAATATAATATGTTCAAAAATGTGGGTGCATGTTTTCCCCGTGTTCCCGTGGGATTCCTCCAGGTGCTCCAATTTCCCCTACAGTACAAAGACATGCGGTATAGGTGAACTGAATAAACTAAATTGTCCATAGTGTATGTGTGTAAATACAAGAGTGTATAGGTGTTTGCTAGTGTTGGGTTGAGGCTGGAAGGGCATCCGCTGTGTAAAACATATGGTGGAGAAGTTGGCGGTTCATTCCGCTTTAGCGACTCCTGATTATTAAAGGGACTAAGCCAAAAAGTATATAAATGAATGAATAAATTTAAAAGATTTGGAGACCACAAAACCAGAATTAGGATGCTCAGGTAAATAACTGACTGTTCTTTTATGGCAAATTTATTCGAAGGTCAAGTAAAATTCATGTTCTATGTTTTTATTGTATCAAAACTCAATTTTTGATTTATAAAGTTCATTGATAAACACTTAATTTAGACAACTTTAAAGCTGATTTCATGTTTTTTTTATTGGTTTGAACTCTCAGATTCCAGATTTTCAAATAGTAGTATCTCAACTAAAATAATGCTCTAAACCATACATCAATGGAAAGCTTATTTATTAAGCACTCTGTAAAGTATGAATATCAATTTATTTATTTTTCAACTGACTTCATGGTTACAATTTTAAGGGACCATAAATTTATGCTTTTATTCATGGGATATTCTACTAGACACGTACATTATCAGTTCCTGAAATAAAAACATAAATATAGTGAATAAAAAGTATTTCATTTCAAACATTTATAAAATGGACTGATGGTTGATTTCTGTGAGTTGTTTAATGGCGTATGTAATTCATTTGATTTTGAGATTTTTGTTCTTTATTAAAAACACTTTACAAATTTACAAACCCTGTCATTGTACTTGTCCTCAGCCCAATTGAACCTAAAGCTTTAATAGTTTTGTAATGCTAAAAACTGTTATTTAGAAGAAATACTTCAGAAATAGCAAGTTTAAGTTTTTTTCATTCACATCACTTGATTAAAAAGATTAAATTATGAATAAATTATACAAACAAATACTACAAATATATCATATCCTCTTGTCACATTTGCATTACATTGAAAGAAAAAAAATGCCTGCAATATATGTTTAAGGCTATAACTCAAAGCAAGTGACATTGTTTGATAAAGAAGCTGGCAGGGATCAAGGATGTATTTTATCATTGAATTGTATGGTTTCATGCTTGTTTGTGTATGATTTTTAAGGAGGACAAGCTTAAAAGATATAAGGCCCTTTCACATTTGAAAGTGAAAATGTACGTTTCTGGTAGAATGTCTCTTATCAAATACTGTATGCAATAATGACAGTAATTATAAGAATAGCAATATAATAATAATAATAATAATAATAATAATAATAATAATAATAATAATCATTGAAAATATATTTTAAACTTTGTATCGAGTAAAAATGCATAAGCATTTCTAAACAATTAAACAAACAAATAAGCAGCTCAATAATTGTTGTTATTATTAAGAATTGTGGTAATGAAATGTTATATGACTACTGAAAATTCTGAATTTGCATCACATAAAAAAGGGAAAAGAAAGTGAAGTGGGTTTTAACTATATACTCAAAACTGTTACCCATACTCAAAAAATAATACTGGTGCTGTATGTTAGTTTTTGACTCTTCTAAAGCATAGAAATACCATAATATGTTTGCAGACATTTAAAAAACATGCTGAGTGAACACTCTTGTTTATTTGAAATACAATGCTGAAGTCAGATATTCTGTTTAAAAATGTGCATTTACTGCCTTCAACTAAACTTCCTTTAAGCTGCCCAATGCCAGTTTAGCAAATTATATTTCAGCACCCTGGGTTTCCTTATTGGAAATTTATTATGCGTATTTGATTCATAAAGGCTCTTAAAAAATGCGTCCGTGTCCGAAAAGTGACTTCCGGTGGACAGTGGCTGACTTTGAAATGAGATACAGATTCAGAGTTCCACATGAGGTGGTTATTAATTTGCAAATAAAATAAATACTACGAATGTAAACATTGGGTGAGCAGCTTATATTGAAACTATGTGTCCTAACAACACACTACGTGATGAGATTTGAAGTGATAAGTAATTTGGCTGTTTACATCAGACAAAACACGACAGATACAGCCATTCAGAAGCTCAAAATAGTGCACCCAGTGCACTCCAATGAATTGGTAAGGTTTATAATCTAATTGATACATATTAAACCTCTTTAACATTATTAAATGCAGATGCTGAATCACTGATATTTGTTGGTTTACACTGAGTCACAGTTCTAAAGTAAAATTTAAAAGTTTTTTTTCCAAGATTTCCAAGATCTTAGGTAAATCAGCTGCTGCTTTCACTTGTATGGCAATAAATGTCATGTAAAATGGCATTTAAACTCACATTGTTAGCATTTAACACTGAATAAAGCACATGAGGTGTACCTGAGGTTTTTATTGTGAGTTTATTCTGTTGTTCAACTGCAAGAAATAGAAGTCGATTCTAAAATATAAATTTCAGGTGTTAATATGAACAAAAGCTCCTTTTTAATATGGAAAATATTACAATCACATGCCATTGCTTTTATAAAGAACACAGTTTAAATTAGCCTTAAATCTGTCTTTAGACTCTAGACAGTTAGTCTTTAGACAGTCTTTAGACTTTAGAGTCAGCTCCTGTTGGTAGCATCTGGCAACCTACGTTTGTTATAATCCAGGAATGCAATAACTAGTTCAACCACTGGGTGTAAAACTTAAATACTGCACCTTTAAATTATTTTACAATGAAAACGTATTTTAAATTGTAATACAAATACATTATAACAGTTTCTTAGTGTTACTGTATTTCTTATTTAAACCTTATTTTATTTAATCTTATTCAAATAAGCAATTCAACCACAAGACACTCTTTTCGACTCATCAAGAAAAATGTAATACTTAAGCCAACTCAAAATTTTTATGTAAAAACAGTAAGAGATTTTTTTTGTAAAACGTTCTGCTATAATCTTTCATTTGAAACATGTCTATTGACTTACTTAATTACTTCTTTTATTGGATTCATTAACATATAATGTACTGACCCTTTGAACCACAAGTTTAGAATGACAGCATTTGTATATGTGTATTCAAACACAAGCAAACAAATAAACGAAACACTGATGGATGTCCACCAAAGCAAACTATCAGAGCAGGCTTAACATATTTGATTTAATTAACATACACTGTCAGATATGAAGGCCACAAACTAATTAGTGCTTTGTAAATAAATGTTTATCAGTAGAACATCCTATGTCTGGGCAGACAGAGCCAATCAATCCTAGAATACAACATGATGAGATAATCATCTACATCTTAACGCAACTTCATAAAGCAGCTGTAATGAGGAAGCATCATCATTATACAAAACATCACCATAGCCCAGCGGCTTTTAATGATATTAAGGTGAAGGTTTTATTAGAAACAAGTACAGATGCTGCATCAGCTTATTCAGGTGCCTGTTTGCAGTGCTGATAGCAGCCTTCCTGCACTTAGACCTCATATTGATAATGGCCCATTTTACTGGGCAGAGACATATAGGTTGCATAATGGATAGTGATGTAGTCGGCCAGAAACTTTGCTTTATATGAGCGTGTTGTTGTAATCGACCTTCTTAAAGTCAGCCCATCATGCTGCCAGGGCACATAATGAAAAAGAATCCAAAATAGCTCCAATTTATGTAAGGCAGGCTTGGGCCAAAGGCTTATGTGGGCTTTTATGTTCATTTTCCCCTGAGTCTGACCACCCACATTGGGATATTTCGGGCGGAGAAAGTTTAAGGGATACTTGGCTCTCAGCTCCACCATCGTCCATTACATATCTGTCAGTTTTGCATCTAATGGAAAGGGCTCTGTGGTAGTGGATCAAGTGAGTATGCAAGTATTTTGAAATGTGCATTTTTTATTGGAGGTTTGACATAATCTCAACTGAATTATGAAGAGAGGGTGGGACATAGAGAAGCTCCTCCCCTTTGAAAAAAACAGCCAATAGCATTTTGTTTTATCACAGCTCTGCCATTGAGAATGGTTGAGCTTGAGCGCATCAAATGAAAAGCAAATGAGAAGCATCTTGAAGGGGGCAGGACATGTCAGATACTAGAGAGCATTTGATTGGTCAATATTTGATTAGAAACATTAAAGTATGTGATGACATGAAACAATCTGAATTGAAAGTAACAAACTGCAAGCTTTGCATGTTTATATCTATT